TGGTCCTCAAATTGAGGGTCAGGACAGTCAAGGAACTGGAGACCTGAGTTATATTCTCTGCTCTATTACAGGCTTCCAAGTGTGTGTCCTTGTCTCTATGAGCCTCAGTGGGGATACCGGCTCTGCCCTACCTCCTGGGGTGCTGGGGAGCACTCACTTTGATACAGTGGTCACAAGGCAATGCACCTAGTTAGACAAATCCCCTGCAAGGATCCTGCACTCTGTTCTAGGAGCCACTTCGCAGGCCGTCATCATGGTGTGCGTCTGCTACTGTGTGTGTTGCCCCTGTCTGACTGGCTGCTGTGTATTAACCTGGTTTAACTGGCCTTGGTTGTAGCATTGAGTACTCCTCAGCCTTCTCTTTAGCAAGAGACAAGCCCCCTCTCTGTGGGAGAGCAGTAAGGCACCCCTGGCACCCTGCTGTGTATTACTGTCTTAGCTAGCACTGTGCTAGTCAGTCTGTTGCCGGTGAAGAATGTGGCTGCTTCAATACTGTGTCGAATGTTCATTATTCATAGAATCACAGGGTTGGAAGAGACCTCAGGAGGTCAGCTAGTCCATCCCTCTGCTCAATGCAGGACCAACCCCAACTAAATCATCCCAGCCAGGGCTTTGTCAAGCTGGGGCTTAAAGCCTCTAGGGATGGAGATTCCACCACCTCCCTAGGAAACCCATCCCAGTGCCTCACTACCTCCTAGTGAATTAGTTTTTCCTATTATCCAACCTAGACTTCCCCCACTGTGACTTGAGACCATTGCTCCTCATTCTGCCATCTGTCACCCCTCAGAACAGCCAGTGCCAGCATCTCCTGGGCTACACGAATGCAGCCTTTGAATTGTTTGTGAAGGTAAATGGTGGCGATTGATCTACCCCTGCCTGTGAAGCCAAAGTGCTTTTGTTTCTGGATAGGAAGCAGCCCTGCCTTGAATAATCTAGTGCAAGGGTAAACCAGGGCTGTACTTTTGCAATGCCAACTTGGACTAGGGCTGGGGGCCCCAGGACCTCTCCAAGCTATGTCAAGGATTGTTCCAGTAGCCTGCGTCAGCAGAACACAGGTGCACCCTCACCATCCCCCCTTTTCTTTGGTCACACCCCCATGCTGGGGCCAGGGTTGGGAGCTATCACAATGGCTTTACACCATCTAGGTATCTCTCTATGAAGGAGGAATCTTTTAGGTACCTGGTACTGCACTGCTAAGGCGGTGCAGAACAGCCATAGCTCAATGGAAAATTGGAGCCAACATCACTGAACTTGGCCCCCAAAGTCTAAGGGAGTTTTAGATGTGTCTATGTAACCCACACACCTTTGTAGTGAGGTGTGTTGTCCCGTGTAGTGGCATTTGGACCACGAAGAGAAAGAATGAGTTTCTCTTAGGCTGTGTCCAGACTCCATGCCTCCGTCGACGGAGGCATGTAGATTAGCCAGATCGGAAAAGGGAAATGAAGCCGCGATTAAAATAATCGCGGCTTCATTTAAATTTAAATGGCTGGGGCCCGCCCC